GTATCTAAGTCTTCCCTGCGCTATTCAGCACTTTTGTATGTATGAGAATGCACATTGTCTGTCGAGATTCTACTCTCACCGCATTGTCCATTTCAGTCCTTTTTATCACACTGCAGTTCCTCGGTTATTACAAACATCACATATCTGTGCATGTAACACTAGTGCTGTAGAATCCTGTATCGTCCCTCAATCACAGCATAAGGGATGCTTTTTTGTTTTTTTTCCTTCTTTATCTGTTGTGTCTCTGACACAAGCCCTCACTGCGGGCACAGTCACAGTAGCACCTCATAGAATGTATCGGATGGTTATCATGGCGTTCCGGAAGTTTTTTTTTTCCCTTTCCTTCTTTTTTTTTTCCCTTGTTCCTTTCTGGATGCAACTGCCCCGGCTCGCCAAAACTCGGTGCGCAGTGAAAATCAGGCTCGGCAAAAACAGGATTGGAGGTAGTGGTGGTTAAAGAAGAAGAAGAAAGAAAAGAAGAAAGAAAAGAAAAAAGCTGGTTGTGGTGACTGTATTGGGCGAAAAAGCTGGTTGTGAATATGCTAAGAGATGGGTAAGGTCACTTCACAATTTGTGAACTGGCTACTATCAGGCTCTCTCTGTGAATGTATAGAGCCACCTTCCTGGCACGATACAGTCATTAGGAGGGTGTGTCATGTGCTCCAGCAAAAACGAAATGGAATGCCGTCCGTCAGCACTACCGTCAGAGATGTCAAGTCTCCAGCACATGGACTCATTATGGGCCTGGCAGCCTGGCTCCACCACGCAGCACAACACAAAAATCGCGGCAGTGAATCTTTCCATGCTCTAAAGAAAGATTCATTCTCATTTTGCACAATTGGTGAGCTGTGTGAGGCAAAAAGCAAAAACGACCTATGCAGAAAAAAGACAACGGATCTCTCGGGGCGGCCGCTAAAATTGGAAGGATACAGAGAATATTAGGGGATACTTGCACTAGGACTCTTTTACTTGTTACGGACATAATTGCGATGAGATATATCCAGGTTATATCCAGGTTGGGCAGTAAATGCGGTCCTATACATAGCTAGTGTGAGCACGCCCTGAACAGGGCCCCTGCACAAGGATGACAGGCATAAATCGAGAGAGAAAAGAAAAAAAACACAATGAGTTTGTCAGTACTACGGTACTACTACCACACACACACCGATTTGTTGGGGCCGTTGCTGAGTGGGGCCCTATGCTGTTTTCCCGGGCGCCCAGGCACTCAACTTCTGCCCGGGTACACGCCCGGGTGCCCGGCCGGGCATGACCCCCGGGCAGGGTTCTGGGCAGCCCCAGCGCCAAAAAAAAAAACAAAAAAAAATTCAAAAAAATCCGGAAAAAAAATATGTTGTGTAGGATTGAAATACAAACGACTTTTGGCTGAGGGTCACATTATAATTCCTCACAGAATCGGAGACAAAAAAGAAAATAACAGAATCACACAAAGGCACCCCCGTTTAGACCCCTTTAGCCCCTTTAAAAACAATTTATACCCCCCTCCCCCCCCCTTGACAGCCTCTGGGAGAGCGCAAAAAACGAAAGGAGCCCGGATTTGCAGTCCTCTGGGAGAGCGCAGAAAACCCAAAAATATATCCCTCTCTGCCTACGGTTTACCGGGCAGTTCTATTTGACGATATATATCTTTTTTTTTTTTGCACGCCCGGGTACCCTGGGCGTCAGACCCCGCCGGGTGTCACGCCCGGGTGCCCGGCCGGGCGTGAGAATCTTCCTAGGTGGGGCCCCAATTTTTCTTGCCCTTTGTGAAATAGAATTGTTTGCTATCACACCCTGCCCCTCCTCTCCCCTTTTTTTTTGGACCCCTATTTCTCACCATACACCGCATCACTTGCGCGCACATGCATGCCGTGTGGTGTGCGCCGCACGTGCCGCCACGACGCCCCCATGATCCGCCGCAAGTATGATACCGATAGATATGTGTGCCTTCGTGTAGCTGCTCTTCTCACAAGAATAATGTGCATGAATGCTCACAAATAATTGTGTTAAATTACCATTTATGCGCTTGATGATTGATTTCAAGAGTTTAGCGCTATGGAATCAATCCAAAGAAAGAAGATTTGACTTCGATCCTTGTGTTAAAGTTTGGGGTGCATCTGTAATGCTCACAACAGTGACAAGATTTTTGCAGCTCAGTGCCCTGCCGGCTGTAGCTGCTCATCTCACAACAATTATGTGCATGAATTCTCGCAGCATTGTGTATATGTGCATGCGTGCTTGTATGCAGCCACCTAATTTGTTGCTTCCACAGTGCCCACACACTCCTCGATATTTATTTTCACTGTATGATGATGATGAGTCTATTTTGGGTTCCATTGCCTGTTTTGTTGGATGTTGGCAATTAAGCCTGAATGGCAAGGGAAGACTAACTTTTTTTTTTTTTTTTTTCAGTTTTGCTGTGAATGCATCTAGTCACCTTTTGGATGATCGTACTTGCTATGCTGAGGCTTGCTATTGCATGAACTGGGTTTCATGGTCATGCAGTTGGTTAACCGGAACCTCATAATAATATTCACCTTTTGACATGTTCCCGAAAACAGGTGAGTCATGGAAGACTCTGTGGATCTTTGGCAGTTTCGCGAGCTTTTGGAGATTCTCCTTACAAGCGGCACCGGATGCGGTGTGTGCCCTCACCATCCTTGGCAGGCAGACATAGTTGCCACATGCATGTCTATGGTGCCAAACCTAGTTTCTTCTTTTCTGTTTGCCGAGTCGGCTTGATGTTTGTGAAGATGCTGATATGCATAGCATACGTGCCCCTATCATACGTTCTGAGTCTTCTGACCGAACGGATCACAGACTGGTTCTTAATCTGAACCAGGTCTATGTGAGTTTACCAGGGATCGGGCTCATTGTCTATGACCTGAACCAGAGTGGACTGGGGGATGAACAACCTTCATGTCTACAGTGTCTGGCTCTTACGAGGTAGCAATCTTTTTTTTTTTTTTTTTTTTTTTTTTTAATTTTACTTTAATGCCACCCCAATGATAGTTGTACTGTTTGCTACTCCTTTCTCTATGTCGTGACTCAAAAGGACACTGGGAGAATCTTTCTTCGTGGGGTGGACCACCTTTGAGACCTAAGAATCCCAAACTTATCAACAATTCGTTTTCTTTTCTTTTTTTTTTCTTTTTTTTCTTTTTTCTTGGACCAATTTTCGATTTACTCCCTTAAAGCACTAGTGCCTTTGTCGGTTCGGAAAATAGTGGGCCTCTAACCTTTCAGGAGGCGGAAACAAAACGACGGCCGCCGATCACATTTATCAACGGCAGCCGTTGTCGGGCCCGGCCTCCTAAAAGTTCGGCACTAGGTTAAAACTTGTCGAAACCGGACAGCAAAGGTAATAGTGGTTTAAAACTTATCAACAATTGTTTTCTTGTATGGCATAAGGAAAATAAGTTGCAGTCGATGGAGTAGAATGTGCTGCCTGCTTCTTTTCTTTGCTGAGGCTTGAAGAGACAGTCAGAGGCATATGGGCAATTTTTTCTTGTGGAAATCTCACCTATGAATATATGATTGGACTCTTGTGGGGATATTATCGGCTTTGAGTTGATTGATTAAAAGCTTCCTCTTTTGCAGAATGCTTGAAGAGGGCTTAAGACATGGGCGATGGACGAAGAAGTTTGTGACCAGGTTTGCCACGACATTCCTATCTCCCCGTTTCTCTCTCTACCGCTCTCAACGTGCTTCTTCCTCCTGCTCGTCCTGTAGGGTAAAAGCCAACCTCTACAACATCAAGGAACATCAAGGGAGGAACAATGTGAGATTTAGTTTGTTTTTCTTGCTGAAAAGATTGTTTGTTCCTTGCTTCCCTTTTCGAAAACATTCCATCCTCTGGGACAACAACGAAGATTGGAGTATCAGGGACGCTGGACCCGTTTTCCAGCAGGTGTTACCCCCCACCAATAGAAGGGAGTCACCAGCAGGGTTGGTAGGGGTGGATGCTCTTACTACCACTCCTAACAACCTTAGCAGGTGTTTGTTGTTAAAAAAAAAAAAAAAAAAAAAAAAAAAAAACAATAAAGATTGGAAAGAAACGGAGAATATTAGTATGACGCCTGTGCAAGGATGGCATAGAATCGGGGAAGGAAGAACAAAGTTCAACAAACATTCTGTGCTCTTCACTTTCATTTTCTGAATGATTCTACGCTACTGTTTCATGGCAGCATGAAGTTTGTTGACTGAATGGTGGCCAATTAGCAATGTGCGTCTGGATTGTGGCATCCTGAGCAATGTGCTTGCAGATCACGGCCACAACCGCATCCTGGGCAAGTAATGAGGGGGGGGGTGGGGGAATGAGCACAAGACAAGAGATCACAGTTTTCGTGGGAGAGGCTGGCAGTGACCATCCCTTCATAGTGTTCAGAGCAGAGGCTTTGCCGTGTACATGCCAACCGAACTGTACCTGTGTGACGACACAATGGGAGGGCACAGCCACCATCCCCTGGAGAGATCCCTTCACTGTTTGTAGTAGAATCAGTTGGATTGCTCTCCAGGAGGTGCAGTGCTTGCAAGTGCTCATCGACATACTGTTCCTGATGAGGGAGCCAGACCGAGCGATTCTCCACCACTTGGTGATACAAAGAGTTAAATATTTCCTGCTGTGTGCACCTCTCTCTGTGTGTGTGTGTGTGTGTGTGTGTGTGTGTGTGTGTGTGTGTGTGTGTGTGTGTGTGTGTGTGTGTGTGTGTG